TCGTACCGATACCGCATTACGCGGTACACAAGAACCGGAAATATCGGGCCGACATACAGGGCAGAAAATATGTCCTGCGATTCAACGCAAACGGGACCTTGCGCTCCAGCAGGCCCACGTAAGCCACTAGCTCTGGTTTACGACGGAGGAGGGAGATGTAACGGAGCGCATCCTTCCGCTCCGTTCCTCCTCCGGATTTCCCCCGACCGACCATCCGTCGGGGACCGCCGAACACCAGGCGGAGTGCGGCAGTGGCCGCAAAGAGGCAGCAATGCCTCCTTTTTTAATTTCTGATACACGCGAACTCCGAAAGCGTTGGAGAATACCGCGAAAACACGTATGTTTTCGTGGTATTTCCCCGCACCGCGCCAAGCGTCGCGTCAACAAGCGCGAACGCACCCCGCACCGCGCCACGCACCGTACCCCTGAGCGCGAAAGCGTCCCGCACCGCACCGATGCCGCGCCACGCAACCGAGCGAGCGTCCCGCACCGCGCCACGACCGCGTCCACAAGCGCGCAACCACCCCGCACCGCGCCGCTACCTTCCCTACGAATTCCTTCCCTATCCAAAAAACCAATCATCCCCACGATCCTTTTTTTCCGCTCCTGGGGAGAGGGATGCTAACCCCGAGATCGACCAATCCGACCGATCCGACCGAAAATACCGAGGTCGATCTCGGATATAAAAAGGCATCGCTCTCCACAGAAAATCACTCACTCTCCGTTTACTCCTGTTCCGAGATCGTCTCCGAGAGCTCGCCTCGAGGAAACGATCTTCCGAAACCGGCAGCAAGCCTGAGATTGTTGGGGCTCTCCCCAACGCGCCAAGTTCGCTTGGCCTGGCCGAAAGCCGTCTCCGTAGCTCGCACGGCAAGCCGAGAGTTGCTGGGGTCTCCCCAGCGCGTCGAGTTCGCTCGACCCGACTCTGCTGTTCCGAGATTTCACCGCCGAGTACCGGGGTTCTCCCCGATACTACCTCTCCGAGTACCAGGGTACTCCCTGGTCAGCCGAGTACACTCGGCACCGC